AATGGGCCCGAGACTCTTATAACAAGGGGCCCAACAGGAGCGTAAGGCCCTCGATTCAAATAAGAAACACCCAAAACCCGATGCGGAGGGCCCCCGAAAGATGGAGTGTATCCGAACCGGTCACCAGCTGACCCCGGTAGGAGCAGAAGACCCTAATTTCAAACACCAAGAACAAATGTGCAGCCCCTCTCCCCGAGCAATCCAGTATTGCCGAGGAGGTGAACAGAAGGAGGCCCCTGACAAGTGCGTAGGGCCCCATTCAAATAGCACGTGCCCAAGGCTAAATGCAGGGGCCCCGAACGATCAAATGTGCCAGAGTAGGCTATGAGATAGGCCTCTACAAGAGCGTAGGGCCCCTATTCAGAAAAGAAGCACCCAAGGCCCAGTGTGGAGGGTCCCCAAACGACTGAGTGTGTCCAAGCAGGCCATCAGATGGGCCCCCGACGAGAGTGTAGGACCTTAAGAAAGCAAGTGACAGATAATTTGAAACGCCATAGACCAATGTGGAGGGCTCATGAGCATATTGCAAGTATGTCGGTAGGTTAACCGAGACCCACGTAAAGGGCCCCTTGCACTTGGAGCAAGTGCAAAGAAATAAAGAGCAGCGTGGAATGCTCCCCAACGATCAAATTAATCCTGCAAGTGGGCGCATAGGCCCCCGGAAACGGCATGGGGCCATAGACGGTGTAATGAGTCATAAAACTTCCAGTTCGCAACTTTTCCAATCATCACATTACTTTTTTACAACTTCCCATAGGCCCTTCACTTTCACTTACAACTGTTCTTGGTCGCCTGGAATTCCAGAGATGCTTATTTTTGTTGCGGTTTGTGTTTAAGAAATCCAAGTCCAAAGTGCGCCTCGAAAAGAGCCGCCATGGTAAAAGCCATCGGAGAGAAATCAAAGCCATCGTATAACGTTTCGTTGAATTCGCAAGATAGCACCCTCATGTTGGCATATCCTGCTATTTGAACAGAAAGCTTCAGGCTTACGTAGCATTCAGCACACTGCATGTTGACACATAGTGTGTTGCAAACGGCACAGAACACACGCGTTAGAAAGGCAAAGCGAGTGAAATACATCACTTTCATAATGGTAAGCGTTGAGTCAAGTGGGATTTCTCCTGCAGTATTACTGATCGAATCGTTCACGTCTGATTTAACAAAAAATTAAAAGCACAAACTGGTGGGATACTCCCCTTAACTAGGTCAGGGTTGTCCATTCCACTGGGTATGGGGGAATGCATGACACTGGGGGGATTTTCGCCCTCCATTTAATATGAATGCGCAGCGCTGGAGCCGGGAAAGAGCACCGGTCGTATCAATCACCAACGCAATCAAAAGGAAGGCTGCCATACGAAATCATAGCGTACGAAGCGGAAATCTGTCGCAGAAGTACGCAGAGATGGGATGCTCCTTTAACGACGAGACAACCAGCCTTCACACAACCACATGCATCGCGGGCTCATGAGAAAATCCAAGCATCGCAAGCAGCGGAAAAAGAGACCGCATGCAAAGCCTGAGACGATGTTGATTGTTGATCGTTGAGAAGTAGGAGTAATGTCCATGACATCAGATCAATTCGTTAAAGTTCGTAGTTAAATATATCGGAGTAAATGTGTGCAGCCCACTAAGGGACGACCACCTCACAGTGCAGTACGCTCAACTCTGGCAGATCCTTAACTTTATTGTGACTGCAAGGACACTCTTCCTCTGCTGGCTACAAGCCGTCACAAAGCTGTATTAGTAGCCCTGACAGAAACGGTCGTCTGCCCTCAACATGTGCTGTTTGGAATGGCGGCACCAGGTGCCGGCGTTAATACGCGCCGGTTGTCATGGACTCATGCCCAAACCCACGCAGGCCTGCGGGCGGCGCGACGCAGTCTGGACGGAGTCAGCCGCGGACCGTCGTCACCGCTCCGCGCCGGTTGTCATGGACTCATGCCCAAACCCACGCAGGCCTGCGGGCGGTGCGACGCAGTCTGGACGGAGTCAGCCGCCGACCGTCGTCACCGCTCCGTCTCACCTGTGGCTGCCCGAAGCCAAACTGCGATGAGGCGGCGAGCGGCGCAAGCGGCCATGGGGATGGTGACCTGCTGCAGCGGTCTGGCGCCGCCCGAGCCCGTCTGATCTCCGGCGCGTCGGGCCCTGGTGCTGTATCGCATCAAGCCGGCGCGTCCCACGGCACGCTCATGCTGTGGCGCCCCACCGTCACGTGCGTCACGTCACGCCTGCGGTGTTGAGCGTCACGGAGAACTCACAGTCACATGCGGCGCGGCGGCTGCAGAGACTGCCGGCTGCGCTCCCGACCGGCGCCCGTCCGACCGTCGACTGGCGCCTGCCGGCCCGGCCACCGGCCCCGGAACCGACCGATTGTATACGCGCCCAACCCAATGCCGGCGGCATCGGTTGGGACGCCACCCCCGGCCCACCGCCCCCATGCCGTGTTTCTCCTGTGGAGCGGAGCGAGTGGGGTTAGGCGACAAGTTAATGGCGCCAAGTTAATGGCGCCAAGTTAATGGCGACATCGATTAAGTTAAACGAAGATGAAGCTAAGGAAAACACACCAAGCATTTGTGTTTTTTGCAATGGTGCAAAAGTGCAATGTTGTAGATTTGTGTGTGATTTGAGCATATGCGTATGGTACATGGCCCCGGCAATGTAACAATGTCGGCCCGCCGCCCGCGTTCCGCGGCACCGTCAATAACCGCCCGCCGCCCGCGCCGGCCGTACATCACCGTGCAATGTTCCTCAAAAACCGCCGCTGCTTCGAAACCTGAAAAGCGAGGAACGCGCTTTTGGTGTTGAAACGCACATGATGGATCCCCCATAAGCTAATACAAGGTTGGATGCAATTGCACGACGTACTGGAGAAGTATTCTCAAAAAACTTAGGGGGGCATCAACGGCGTATCAAGGCTGAGGGTAATGCGTACCGAAACTCATGCGAACCATGAAACGCAAAGTAGGTACGTTTTTAAAAACCTTACCCAGCGGCCTTTACCATGAAACCGAGAAGACTCGATAGGGCCACGAGGGTTTAAACTGCTGTAGGGGAGGCTACCGCTGTTGGGTGTTACACTTCTATGTTATCGACTGCAGGATGCATGTGCATTTTTCAAATATGTCAAAAGGCTTAAAAGGCTGAAATCGGGAGGCAACTCAATACCAGGGCCTTAAATTTTGGCGTCCTTACCGCTTTTTCTCCTTTCTCTCCGTATCTGAGAAATGGAAGAAGAGTCAAAATAACTCACGCCACGTTAAAACGGGTAACAAGCTTTGCCTCACGTGGGCCTCAAATTTAATGTTAAACATTTCCTTTGGCGCTGCTTCCTGGCCCGCTGTACATAGCAGGTTCCGATGAACTGATCGTCAGCTTCAGCCGTGACGACCAGCTCCGGGTGCTAGACTTATTCATGATGCTGCCCTGCGGAGGGTCAGCATATACCACATATTCATACGCAAGACCATGAGCATGTCGACAGCCTTCACAATGACGATATATGCCACCACCATGAGTTCAGTTATTTGCCAGCTTTTTAATTCTTTATCTAATTTCCCACCACTTAAAATTTGTTCAGTCTGTGGCTACTTCATGCATGGAAATCCGTGTCCATTCAAAGTTTTCAAAACTATTGTTTGAGCATATCCCAATCAGCCACCTGAATCCGTTCACAGGCTGTTAGCCTCGACGCTTGGTTGACCTTTGTGCGGCCGGCCAGCTGCGTTCTGAGATGTCCACTCGTGTTCCAGTCCCATTAAAACCTTTTAGCAACAGGTGCTGAGGGGCGGTCGTCTCTCTCTCTCTCTCTCTCTCTCTCTCTCTCTCTCTCTCTCTCTCTCTCTCTCTCTCTCTCTCTCTCTCTCTCTCTCTCTCTCTCTCTCTCTCTCTCTCTCTCTCTCTCTCTCTCCCTCCCCCCCTCTCTCTCTCTCCTCCGCTGACTCAGTGCGTCCCTTAAGGATCCTCGGTCGACCCTGTCCTCTTCAACATCTTTACGAACGACCTTTCATCTTACCTTCCTCACGGACGTTTAATGTCCTGTGCCAGCGACGCCCAACGGCTAGACTTTGCTCATACAGAGCAACCATTCGCTTTGCAATCCCGACAAGCAGAAACCCTCGGAGTGATTCAATCCTACTTCATACCTAGCTCCCTCAAAATGAAGCGCACCAAAACAACTCTTATTCTTGGCACCCCACAACCCCTTAAAAACTCACATTTCCAACTGAACATCGCGGGACGCGAATTAAGCCTTTGCCGTCCGTGAAAACACTGGATGCTACTATTGAAAATATACTTTGCTGGGAGATGTGCATATCCCATGGTGTCAAAAAGTACAACTGCATCCTTTTCTGCTTGTGCATAACTCGTCACCAATTTACGCCCGAAGTTCGTGAAATTTCTTTCACATTTCATTGTTTTCCCCTCACCCTCTGTACCACCTCTCAGTCCGGGATGGGGTTGCAGCGTGTCACCTAAACAAAGTAAGTAGTGATCAGCTTTGGGGCCGTGATCATTACCGGTGCTCGTTGGCGAGATTCAATGGCGGCCGCTGTTCCAAGCACTGGGCTGTCTCGGTGTTAGCAATCTTGTCACCAACGGTGACGACCTGGCTGTATTAAGGGCCCTTAATAGCTTGCGGCCTCCGTTGACGATCCGTTCCCATGTGCGTTCACCCCACGTGCCACTGTGTGCCAGCGTGCAGCTCGGGCGGCAGCGGCGGGCGCCCTAGATCCATGTCAATATATTCGCCTGTCGGTGGCACGCAGGCTTTTCGTATCGCACAGCCCCATGCTGGAGCCGCCTGCAGGGGCGGATCTAGCCTGGGGTTTGGGGGGGGGGGGAGGGAGGCCAACCATTCGTCGCCAGCTGGCTGGTGTGGGATTCGAGGCCCAGTGCACTTATGTTGTTGTTGGTTTAGGGCGCATAGCCTCTTGGGCCCAGGTGTCCGTCATCGTTGTGTTGTCCTAGAAGTTTGGTAGCGTAGTTGGCAACTAAGCTCGACAGGGGATAGAAGGATAGAATGCATTGGTCGGGAATTTTCGTGCAGGACAGTGGTGTAGCAAGGAGATGCAGTAAGCGGTGTTAGTTTCTAGAAAATTCAGTGTTAAATGTTCAGATATATAAGCTCATTAGTGAACTAAAACAAGAGAACAAAAGTCCGGTTTTTTGCCAGGCTCTTTTTATCATTTTATTTTAACCACAGCTTCCCTACATGATAGACATTGCTGGTCAGAGTGATCAGTCAGTCGGTAGTCACAAAAATTACCGTTTAACAAAGCATTTACCAGATCGGAATTTCACATATCTGTCATGCCGTTTACTCTAACGCATTCACGCACATTCATCTGTCTTCTCCATGCTTGTTCAAACCTCATTCATGTAATCTCTTCTGCTTACGCACACGCCCACGTATGACACATATACACATATATGCTACACATAGTTCCTATACCACTTCCTTGCTTCTCACACTTCTCAAGCATTTAGTCAGACATCGTACACAGATATGCACGCAAGCTTAAATTATACCTGAAATAAACAACTCATTTCAAACGAATACAACATAGTTTAAGCAGCATGGCAACAATCAATGACAGAAAATAAAAAATTGCACATGTCCAGTACGCAAAGGCAGCACTTCACAATCGTTTCAGTAGATCGCAGTGACGCAAATATTTCAGCACTTCATCAATGATGTCCGGGAATTCATTTCTTATCAGCGACCTCACACAGAATTGTGCTCCTGACCGTTGACATAGTGTTACCAACGATCGTCTTTCGTGAAAATATACAGGACATTCAAGAAGGATGTGATACACTGTTAATGGACACTGACAACGTTCACATTCAGGTTGGGGGTTTCTGTCTATCATACATGAGTGGGTATAACGAGTATGCCCAAGTCTCAGCCGGCACAGCACTATCTCTTCGCGTCTGATCGCTCGCTTCCAAGAAACCCAGTCTCCTATCTCTTTTGTAATGCGTTTTAAAGTGGTCCCAGGGTTGTATTCTGTCCAATATTTGTTGAATAATTCACGAATACTTCGGCGCACTTCAGAAAAATAATATTTGGGACCCATTTGAAAATTACTCACGCCATTCAGTCTTATAGCCACCTTCGCTGGCGCATCCGCCGTCTCGTTTCCACGTGTATGACAATGGCTTGGGACCCAGACGACGATGATTGTGCTGCCCATTTCAATAAGCTGGTGGACCGGCTCAAGTAAATGGATCACAATCGGGTTTTCAGACGTCGGGTTTCCCAATGCTGTTATAACGGACAAAGAGTCTGTGCATATAACACATCTGAGGATGCGATTTGTACGCGTATAATTCAGAGCCTGTAGTAATGCAAATGCTTCAGCTATAAATATCGAACAAAATCCAGGAAGTTTAAATTTTTGAAGTCTTTCACCTTGGACAAAAAGCACATCCAACTCCGTCTGCACTCTTTGCTCCATCGGTGAATAGGAACTCGCGTTCTGCATACCTGCTTCTCAAATCATTAAACTCACATTGAATTTGCACTTCATCTAGCGTTCTCTTGCTCCTGTTAGTCAACTTAATCAACGTACATTTACGTAATCTCCATGGCGGAACGACGCTGCGTTTTAAGGCCACCTCTTCTGGGAAATCGAATCCTGTTCCATGGCACATATCAAGTATTCTCTCATATAGCGGGAAACCAGAAATCCTTTTCATATATCCAGTCTCTACCTCATGTAACGCAGCCTCATTGGCCATAAGTTTTCTGCATGGATGATCCTCTCGACTTAGTATCTTCAGGGAATAACGGAGAGACAAGTCGCATCTGCTCAGTCTCAAGGGAAGTATGTCTGCTTCGACCATCAGTGGTAAAATGGGCGAAGTTCTAAAGGCTCCAGGAGCAATTTTAATGCATTCATTTTGAATAACATCAATCATCTCCACTGCCTTGTTACGGGGACCATCAAAAACTTGGCATGCGTACTCTAATATCGGTCTTATCATGGCTTTGTATATTCTCAATAGTGTAGAACGATCTGCGCCACAGCCTTTTCCAGATAAACACTTTAATATTGATATCCTTTTGACAGCTTTTGCTTTAATGTACTGCATCATCGTGTTTAAGTTCAGCCTAGAGTCCAGCATCGCTCCCAAAAACTTGACAGTGTCGGTGTATGTTAACGGTTGGTTATATATATATATATATATATATATATATATATATATATATATATATGTAAGTTAGGTATGTCCGTCATCTCTCTTGCCTTCATATACCTCCGAAATACAAGTGCGTTGATTTGTGAGGTGAGAAAAGGAAACCCCACTGATCAGCCC